TGAAATAGTTTCTACCCTGGAGAATAACGTCAAAAACCGTTTTGAGGATTTTAACGAAATGGCTTTAGTAGCGCAGTTTGTTTTTTTCACCCTTTATGGAAATTGATATCCAACAGTTTGCAACTTGTGTTATGCAGAACTTTACCTAACCTCTCGAATTAGTCAAAAGTGTCTATGAATCATTCGAAAGATTCCCATCACGTGATATGTTGGGATTCGTGTTTTTTGATGATTGAACAAAGAAAGAAGAGCATATCGATCGCTTCGATGGTCAAGCTAGACAAATGTGGAGCAGGCGGAAAGTTATTATAGAAAGAGAGAAGTTGCTCCATGTAAGTATATCTCGCGGAAAATAATGGGAAAAGGCTTTCGGAGTTGGGACGAAATTTTTTCCCTCATTCTATACGAGGCAAGAGAATAAATGAGATGTAGGGCTTCTGCCCCAAAAACGTATGCATTTTCTTGAAAAAGTTCATTTTAATTGGAATCGAAAATCTTTCTGGAATGGAAAACTTGAGCTGATTGCTAAAGAAATTCATCCATATCGAAGGTTATGTTCGTTAGGAAATTCAGCTGCTTTGTTCGAAAGCCTCAGCAAATTCTCGAGCATATTCTCTTCGATCATTTTTTTTATGTTCTGTTTCCCACGAAAAGGGATATCCTGTCATGTTCAGAGAACATCGTGAGAAAAAAGGGAAATGAGGTGGGAATTGGTATTCTTCTAACATTTCTGCAGGTTATATGCTTCGGGGAACACCACTTGGCAATGTGTTCCAGAGCCCCGCTTTTCGTTGGATGAACGAGTCTTTGGAAAGAGATGTTCTGCAGGACTTCAAAGTGCAAGAGCATCGTCTATGAAAATATTGTAATAATATTTTCCTTAGAGGGGCTCTAGGAACACCATCAGGGAGACAGGAGTACAACGGTCATCCTGTAACACGCATCCCAGATTATTCTCCAACCGCCCAATGATTCCTACATGCACCAGCATATTTTTGAACACTCAATATATGCCGCAGTGACAAATAACGTGACAGAAGATTCTGGAATGTTCTGGAAACAATCGATGGAACAGTAAGAGATAGAGGTTTTGTTCTAAGAAGCTTCTAGAACAAAAGGAAGGTTACGGAAGATCGTTCGAGAACATTCTCGAATCAAAGCCTACCATGGGATCTCATATATATGGACGGCCAAACATCTGCACCAGTCAGTCAATCAGCGAGTGTCAGAGAGACAATCATATACCGCGTGATATAAATCGTTATACATAAATAGTAGTTATGAGTTAGATATAAATTAGTGTTTCTTTAGTTCAAATAAATCAGTTCGAAAATAAATAGTGTCGTGTTCGCTTCTCCACCCGATTAACGTTACAATATCTATAAAATAGAGCCAGATCGCCAACTTTTCTACGGTGTTCCAGAGAAGTGAGTGAGTTTGTGAGCGAAGCATCACCCACGAGATGAATTGCCCTTTTTTGGACAGAACAGTTTCAGGGTATGTTTGGGTGCTGCACTCCAAATATGGGAACAGTATACCAGGACAGGTCGGATCTGTGCCTTATAGATCATATAAGCGGCTGACTGGAAGTGGGATAGCTCCTTGCCCGAGACAGAGAACCAAGTTTTAGGGATGTATTTTCAGCAATTTATTTCACATGATTTTCCCAAGAAAGGTTATTGCTGATAATATTATCAAGCATCGAAATGGATGTCTTCAAACATATGGTTACTCCTGACGGCAGCTCACGCAATAGGAATATGTGTGCAGTTCAATATGAAAAAGAAGCTATATTAAAAACCAGACATCATAGTCATGTTAGATAGATAGAAGCGGAATTATCGATTTTGTTATGGAAATAACAAATAGCAATATCACAGTGCAATTCTGTATTCTATTTGGACCGGACCTGTTAGATTAGTTATTAGTTCGGGTAATAGCAATATTGTTGGAGAATGACGGAATTTTTAGCCGACAACACTGTTGCGTACTCGTTCGTTGAATATTGAACACCGTTAGTGCGATTTTTTTTATGAAGAAGAATTTGATCTTTACCTAACCTCACGAAATAGTCAGAGGTCTCTATGATACATACGAAGGATTTTCATCACGTGATATGTTGGTATTCTTGTTTTTCGATGATTGAACAAAGGAATCAGAGTATCTGGTTTCGATGGTCTAGGACTGTGGAGCTGGCAAAAAATCATTGTAAAAAGAGAGAAGTTGGTCCATGCAAGTATATCTCGCGGGAAATAATGGGAAAAAGGCTTTCGCAGTTGGGACGAAACTCTTTCTCTCTTCCTATACGAGACAAGAAAATGGATAACATGTAGGGCCGAAAACTCTGAAATTTTTTCAAAACAGTTTATTCTAATTGAAATGGCACATCTCTCTCGTAAAGAAAACTTGAGCTGATTGGTGAACAGATTCATCCATATCGAAGATCATGTTCGAAAATTCAGCTGCTTTGTTCGAAAGCCTTGGCAAATTCTCAAGCATATGAAAAAGAAGCTATATTAAACACGGAACATCATTATAATGTTCGATAGTTAAGCTGCCATCAATTCGCTGAGCTCTATAGTTATCAGCTTTACGAAATGGTTTGGAAATACCAGGAAAAACTGGAGGAATTATAGCCAACAGAAATGCAATCATCATTCTATGGGTTCCGGGAGATTCCAGAGTAGAGAGAAATGAAGTAGAGGACAATCTTGCTAGAAAATGAGCTCAATCGCCCTTCGTGAGGCCAGAATATTTCTGCGGGATGAGCAGCAGTAGATAAAATGTAGTATTTCTATTCCAAATACTCGAGCATTCTCTTTTTTGAACTGTTTGTTCTCATTGGAAGGGCTCGTCTTATTTTCAAAGGTGATTACCGCGATATAAACGTCCATACCTTATCCGTGAGAATCGAGAATCTTGTTATAGCGGAATTAAAAATTTTCTTATGGTAACAACAAATAGCACTATCACTCTGTAATTCTGTATTCTATTTGGACAGTATACATGTTAGATCGGTTATTAGTTGAAGTGATAGCAACATCGTCAAAAAATGGCGGATTTTCGAGCCAACAACACTGTTTCGTAATCGTTCGTTGAATGTTGAACACCGTTAGTGCAATTTATTTATGAAGAGGAATTCAATCATTACTCCACCTTTCGAATATTTAGAAGTGTCTATAAATCAATAGAAGGATTCCCATCACGTGATTTGTTGTGATTCGTGTTTTTTTGATGAATAAACAAAGGAAGTAGAGTATCTCGCTTCGATGGTCAAGACGACTGTGGAGCAGGCGAAAAGTCATTATAGAAAATTGCATGCATTTTCTAAGAAGAGTTCATTCTGATTGGGATGGTAGATAAAGGTACATACATCTCTCTGGAATGAAAGAAATGAACTGATTGTATCACAAATTCGTCCGAATCATGGTTGACAATGTGACTCATCTGTAGACTAGCGAAAGTGTTAAATTTCTGGGTATTTCCATGACAAGTTTCTGAACTGGAATCCCCAATGTCAACACTTAGCTCCCAAGCTCAATTCCATGAAGTTTCTTTCGATGAATTTGCGCTCGGTTTCAAATAGAACTCAACTGCTCAATATTTATTACTCTCCGGTAGAGTCCAGACTCTCTCGGTTTCAAATAGAACTCAACTGCTGAATATTAATTACTCTCCGGTAGAGTCCAGACGGAATGGTGTCGGTTTTTGGAGTAGTTCAAGCATGGCACAATATGTATTCATTGTCCAAAAACGCATATTGCAAAGGTCTCGGCCAGATAATCTTGTATACCACTCTTCAAAGATTTTGTGAGTTAACGTTAGTATCTATATATATTTATATAGATACTAACAGGAATATGTCTGTATAAATATAAAAACAGTTCAGTTTCTGAAGTGAAGTAACAATGTTCATCGCCATGACACCAGGATTAGAGATCCGTTTTATGTACCATTTGCTAGACTAAGAGTTACCTCCAGTTCACCTGAGCACATCGGAAGGAGAATTTTCAATAAACTTCCTCACCACATTAGGAATGCAGAGCATCTTGCAAAAAAAGTTTTTATTCGTTGACAGAATTTTTAGACTAGATGTAGGTATTATTCTTTGAATCGTCTTTTCTACATTTTCTTTTTTTATTTCTCTTTTTCATGTTCTGACAATTTCATATACAATTTGTAATATTGTCGGTAAAAAATGAAGTATTATTACTGAAAAATCATCTTTGTCTAAATTCCAGCTGCCTCCATCGAAAGCCTTGGCTAATTGGTGGTGGAAACTGTCGATTTGTATAGTCGGTTATCGCGTTAATCAGTATAGCTATAGGTCTTTGGGCCTTCTACCCGACAACCCTCTCTAAAACGGCTGTATTTATATTGTAAGTACTATTAAACCATTTTATATATTGTATGTCGTATTTATAATGATTCCTCTTCTATATGATGATGATCTAACTAATGTATTTATGTTTTGGATACGGTTTTTACTACTTCTCATACCCCTTAACAATTAGTGTCTGAGTTAATATAATCTACCCTATCTGAGCTATCCTCAAAGATGATCCAGTGGTCTTATATCATCAGGAAGACAAGGATCGTGACACTATCGCCATCTGGTGCCGTTAGGTCTGAGGTGGGGCTTTGCGACACGTTCACACAGAACTATAGAAGGTGCCAGTTGGTGACACAATGCAAGAAATAAGGAACAAAGAATGAAGAATACAAAATTCAGAATGCGAAATGGAAAATACCAATCCACACACATCTCGTTTTATCTTGGAACACACAATTGATACATCATGAGGAATGAGAAATGAAGAATAAAAAATAATATTTCGAACATGACGAAATTTTCATTCCATATTCTTATTACTTCAACGTTTTGATCAATCAGAACAGAGTGTATACACTTGATTATCTCAATATAACACATTTATCACACGTGGTACCTCTGTATACTAATGGAAATTATTGGAATATTGTTTTGAGGTTCGACTTACCAACAAATATAACCAGGATCAGCGTATTCATGTTATCAATTGTCGACAGATGACTCTGAGGATGTTCATTCATTACATAACTCCTGAAGATACAGCATATTATCACTTCACTAGATAATCAGAAATAATAAAAAAAAGTGGGGAAATAAGTCATGGCTATGTGACATCATCAATATTTCAAATAATTTTTCAATAATTTCCAGAAATGCAAGAAACTGTAACTTATATTTGTCTATTTGATTGTCAGAATTAGTAACAAATAGCAATTTTGTTAATGATAAAAATGAAGGTGTAGGTGCATGTATACATGGCCCGATTGTAGTTGTTGTTCTGCTCAGTATCTGCGTACAGAAATCATTATATACTCTTTTATATTAGTGAGTCAGAAACGTGTACCGAGCTTTCTGGAGGTGATGATGAATTGGAAGATAAGTACCTACCCTGTTCCACATTCTCGAACAATTTTGAGGATTGTGCACATATTGTGTGAAATACGATGTTTTATAACGAAAAATGAAGATGGTGTCCGGCCAAGGAGTTCGAGGCGTGGAATATTATACTGATGAATTTATCTGCTGATATGATACAATTTTTGTACTTTGATGTAAGTACCATTTTCTTGTATTTCTTTTCGCTCTTTCAAATGCTTCCATGGAAAAAAGTTGTCCAATAAATCCTGACCAACTCTTTGAAAACACCCTTCATAATAATATCAGGAGAAATCTATTTCATCAACATAACATTCATGCACAAAATTCGATCTGGTGGCTTCTAAAGGTCAGAATTTATGCGGGAAAATGATTTCAATTTCTCAAGTTTGGAGAGATACAGTGCCGGATTTAGGGAGGGGGCTATGGGACTATCAGCCCCCGGCGGTGAATTTCAGGAGGCGGTAGAGAAAAAGAGAAAAGAGAAACAGCAAGCAACAATACAGTCATTGACTGGTTGAGATACTGTTTTTGTGAAAATCATAAGATGCACTAATCTAGCGTCAGTTGTTTGTTGGACGCTACAATAAAACATACTTTTATATGATGATGTGAAGTAAAACCGCCTTCGACCCAGTAGAGTAGGGGTATTTCGTGATTCGTCTAACTCAATAACAAAAAACAAATTCAGAGTTCAGTATTCAATAGGTTGTCGTTGGTAATGGTACTAATAATAAATATTGAAACTGGAAAAAAAAAAAATGCGTAAAAAAGAAAGTAGTGTATTCTGGAAACGACAGAAGATCAATAAAAAAAAGCAGTTAGACGAAATTGTCAAGAAGTGTTCTAAAATACATTCATTTTTTCTAGATTCAAATGAGACAAAATCAGAACTGACAGAATAACCGTCTCCGAGAACCTCACGATCTCAAGACGGATATGGTAAGTTTCATATTTTTCACATTCAATACGCGAAAAAGAAGAGTTAGAATCTCAAAAATAAATGATCAAAATATGAACACGACTAGGTGTTGTTTCAGGGATAATCACAACAAATTCCTAATTCATTGATTATGGGCAATTACTTAGAATTTTTTTACTATCCCTGATGATGAGTAATGCCAGTAGTAAAAGGTCATCCTCAACTTTAAAAAGAGTGAAAAACTTACTTAGGAATTCCATGGTAGAGGTAGAGGATATATTGAATATCTTATCATTTTCAAATATTAACAGTGACATGTTATTAAATCTGAATTTTGATGATGCCACTGACGACTTTGCATCAAAAAAATCAAGAAAAGTATTGTTGTTGTTGTTATGTTTAACGTGTGAAATAAATATAATTTGATTCGTTGTAAAAAATGATTTCATGTTATTGTTATATGCTGTTAAAGAAGTAGGTAGTATTTGAATTTTAAAACTGATAATTGAAAATTAAATATTTGGCGGCGGCGCGGCGGCATCGTAAAAGTTAGCCCTCGGCGTAAGGGAGTATAAATCCGGCACTGGAGAGATATATCTTGTTCAATATACATTTTGGGCCATCAGTTCATTCATTGAAATATACTTATTTTCCAATTCATTATCACCTCTAAGAAACTCAGTACACATTGTTGACCTATTCTGTTCTTTGAACGAAGTGACTCCTGGTATCTTCAAATATCTCTGTAAAAAATAAAGTTATTGGAGGGAATTCATAGTAGATCACTTTGTACAATCTGGACTTCCAGAAAAATTCCACAGATTGTTTGCAAAACAATGACATCAACTTCGTATAATTTTTTTAAACAATATCAGTGATCTTTTAAAAAATCGATATAGCGAGATGAAACCAAAATTGGAGACAGATTCAAAACAGTCGGATGGTCTATCTAATTTTCATGATTTTATTCGCATCATCTCTATGATGTCTGCTCTGATGTCATATTCCCAGAATTCAGAAAAAGCCTACTATTGATATGTTGTTTTCTTGGAATATATCATTATATTTCTTAGAATCCCCACGATAACTAGATATTTTCGTTGGAGTATGCGAAGATCAGGAAGAAAAACATGTCAACACGTGTTCGGGACCGTGTATCACTCTATACATTGATTAAATAGATCAAAAACTAGTATTCTCCGTCATGGTCCAAAATCGACTTCCCAAAAAACATAAAACATATTTGGTTCTAAATTCAAACAATTCCATGATAAACCTCAGTGATTATTTGTTGAAAAATTTGTTATTTTTGTATCTAGAGCGCGAAATGCTATACTTTGGTGATCGAAATATGATTTTTTTAACGAGGCGTGTATTTCGCGCTCGAGTTGCAAACAACATTTTTTCTACGAACGTCAAAAAATATAGTTCTAAAGTAAAAACATGCTCAGCTTGATATAAAAAATAGTGTTGAACTGGCTTAAAAGGCCTCCCCCTATCCTCCCTAGGTACGCACGATGTTCCACGAACATAATAGGAATTTTCTTTCGTGCGCTCCAAGAGATAAAACAAAGTTATTGTTGAACATTCAGAAATGAATAATTTCGTGAATGTTTGCTCGATTGGGCACCATAAAGTTGAAATATAAATATCTCATATATTTTACATAACAATGCGCGAAGTAGGTAGTAGGTACTTCGCGCACTGTTTTACTTATCGCATTGTTTTGTGCAAGGTATCATGGTAACATAGGAAACTAAAAAAAAGTGTCACTTCGCAATTTGTTATCAATGCACGTTCGAAAAAAAAAATATATTAAATTCGTATTCTCAAGGTATATAGGTACTCAGGTGTGAGAATTCAGAATTATACTTTTATTCTTCCATAAAATATTAGTGATTTTTATTGAGAATATGGATATTTCAATCTGGACCCTGTCATTTTTATTATTCCTAAAAAAACTCAATTTTGGAACATGAAAAGTGTAGGATAATAATTTCTGCTCTGCTATATTCTCAGATTTCAGAACAGTTCTACTATTCGTATCTGTTGGTTCCTCATTTTATTTATGCATTCCACATTTCTAGGATCATTTGCCGAAAAAGTTGGAAGTTATACGTATAAAAGGTACCTACGTCATCAAGTTCTTCATAAATTGCACTCTATATCAGTACATTCCTATCAATATCCACGAAAACTCTCTGTTCTTATTCAAGTATCCGAAAGATCAAAATGAAAAATAAGCATAGGAGAGGAAGGAATCCCCTTGGACTCTTCTGAACGAAGACAACGAAGACAATAACATTTCTTCCTGTTCATTCGATATAGATCAAATATGGTATTCATTACTAAAATCTGACTATGGTGATTTCAAGATGTTTTTTTATGAAATCATCCTGTAACCTATTTGCTCGCCAACATCAACATCTGTCATTGAGAAGTGTTAAAACTGAAATCGAAAGACAATTTGACGAGAAAAAGATTATCCATTTTTCATGTTGAATACGGATGCATTTCCATTTCAGAAACGTCCGGAAACATGTGGATATTCGATATTTTCTTGATGTATATTTCTCTTCTTCAATTATTTTTCAATTCGAAGGGTCACTGACAACCAATTGAACTTCTCTGTTGAGTTTCCTGATAAGATAGAGTAGAGTAGAGTTTCATTGACTACTTGATGTACTGTACATTCATACATTTGTAGAAAGTCCTAAATGATTCAATTTTGGTGAAAAGAATGTAAAAAATGATAATTTACAATAAAAGACAAAAAATATACCATCTGAGACGAATAATATACAATCAAAAACAAAAACAAAATACACATTTACGTTTCCCTCAAGAGTGGATGTTCGGCAAGTGTGCTCCTTGTATCAAAATTGTGGCCACTAACGTGAGCCAGATATTCTGCAATCGAGTAAAAGCAAATTTTTTCAAAATAATCTTTCATAACTCTCTTGAAAAAAAACATATTCATAGTTTTAATACTGACAGGAAGAGCATGATATAATCTGAGATCATGAGAATTTTTTTGTGATTTACTGAGTTTGTAACGTTGAGGTCTAATAAGATCACTGTTGCGTGTATTGTGATTATGCAAACTGGATTGCTTAGGAAGCAGGCGAGCTTTTTTGTGAATCTCTACTATACTCGTATGAATATGCATTGAAGGTACTGACATTATTTCGTGATTTATGAATGAATCACGACACGAATATCTGTAACCAATTCCAACAAGAATTCTCAGAGCCTTTTTTTGTAAAATGAAAATACATTGGGCATTACTTGAATTTTCCCATAGTAGGATCCCATAAGAAATATGAGATTGAATTAGTGAGCAAAAAACTATTTTCAATGAAGTGAAATCAGTTATAGGTTTAAGTTGTCGAAGTAAAAATAGAGCACTCGATCATTTACTTTTCAAACCTAAAATGTGGCTGGACCAATTTGACCTATTATCCAAGGTGAAACCCAACAACTTAACAGTTTGGAACTCAGGTAATAGCTGAGCCGTAGATATCACCATGTTTTGTGATTTATCGTTATTCATCATAGGTTTATTAACACTAAGCCAATAGTTGGCTTTTCCTTGTATATTCTTAAACGCAGTGACATCGGCAGGAGAAACTGATTCGTCTTCACTACCCTTTTATTGAAATGACACCCATATTATTATTTGAAAGAAAATCAATTTTGGACCATGAGGGG